TTAGAATTCGGAAAATCACCAAAAATATGGCGCTCGCGCGCATGCGCAGTGCGCCAGACTTCGGCAAGATGGCGCTGACGCAATTAGGCACATTTTTTCTCTATATATGAGCAATGTGACGTCCGGCCTGCATAGCATCACCCCTACAACAGACGTGTGTTTACATAAAACGCGTCTAGGAGGAGCCCTTGCACGCCTTGACATCACACCGCTGGATCAGGAGGTCCGGTGGCCACCCTAGGATTTCTACTGTTCAGTGCTTTTATCATTATAGACAAGCAGCTTTCTATCTCTACCCACAGTCATTGCCATGTGTGTACATTCTGCTTAATTCAATTTAATAAACCTTTTATCAACATTACTACACTATGAGCACCTTTATTCTCTATACCTGGCACTGAGCCTCCACACCTCAGCCCCAATATTCCAGGCATTTGTGCAGACTTGAGGAGTAAGTACGTTATGACCAGACCGGTATCCTTCTCACACACCACTGAGTGACCACCAGAGGATTGCATTACCAGGCAGCACCTACCTAGGACCCCCAGCTATATGTGATCTTGATATGCACATTTAGATTGCGCTTCTGGTGAGTAGGCAATCTATCTATATCTCTATATCAGGATACTGGACCATACCTGCATTGATTGAAGTCACCTATAATTTTTGGACTATCTACTTCACTTGTTATTGTTGTACTGGACATTTGGTGTTTTATTTATTTATCTGCTGAAGATAGGTTCAGCCTGGTCATCACTCTTTGTAGCGCTGCACTGCCCATTGTATTGACGGGCAAATCTGAAAGCAGAAATGTGAAATCTGAGCCAATCACAGTTGTGGGCGTTCCCTTCATCAGCCAATAATAACGTTCTGATTAGGAGTCCAAATAAATGTATCCTGAGATCTGTCTCCGTCTCCAGCCCAGAAAATACTTGTTCCGTAGACTTTCCATTGATCTCTATAGCGGGGCGGATTCTGTATTCTGAATTACAAATCGAAGCCGGAACGATCTGACATGAAGATGTCCAACGGATTTCCTATTCTTGGTCCATTAAACTGCCCGAGATGAAGGGCCCCTTCATGATCGAAGTTCTCCGGAAGAAGGGGGGTTAATGTCGGTATTTTCAGTGTCGGGTCGGAGGATCGGAGAAGATTCCATAGAATTCCGGCGGGAAATTTGAATTGAAGAATTCGAATGTTGGGATCGGTCAGTGACTGGTTTCCTCCATTCCCTCCATACATATATGCTTCGTACACCAAGTCCTGTGGAGTGATGTCCCCCTCAAGTCGGAGATCCTTTCCTTACGTTGTCGCAAGATCTAAAATAACTGATTTTATTACCCCTGCTGTACACTGATAATAACAGATACTACACTTTATCTTAGCGAAAAGGACAAATGTTATACATTCATAGAAAATGCTTTCAGTGTGAGACTCTGGGGAAATGACATCTTATTCCAGGGACTGATCTTATCCGCCTTCCTTTAGTTGTGATGAGTTTCTCCTGAAGATCAGAGATCGTTCAATATATACCGAACAACGATCCTCCCGACTGGATGGGAACAGATCTCATCACCTCCTTCACACTCCACGTAGAAAAAAAGATGTTTTACTATCTGAAGAAAACGTCTATAACTGTCATTGGATCCACTTTCTAATTGCTTCATTCAAATCTCCCGCCGGAATTCTATGTGACGTCACAGACAATCCGCCCTCTTACCGCCAAATCCGATACGGAGAGCCCGACCGCATCCATTTACCGTTTTATCTGGGAAGATCGATCAACCTTCCATTCATTCCAGGCTCTGCGATCAGCAGCCAAACATCATTATAGGAGCATTACGAATATTCATATGAAATGTGTTATTGTCACTCCAATCCCTCAGAATACAAAACCCGACAAGATCTAGTTATTAGTCTGTTGATTTAGTTGTAGAGAAGAGATCAATGAAAAGTCTACAGAACAAGAAAACACTTCCTGCACTAGAAACATCGACACCGAAGATCTCCGGATACATTTTCTATGGACTTCTCGTCGACAAACATTACTGGGTGTGATGGAGACAACGCCCACAGCTGTGTGATTGGCTGAGGATCCGAATTCTGCCCGCCGGAATTGTGTAGACCGTTCCAAAGAAATATTCCGCCCGATTATACCGCCAAATCCGAGCCGGAGAACAAAATGGAGATCATAAGATGAGACATTTATCGGCGGAATAATCACCAAACACTTTCATTTGTTAATCCAATAAAGTTATCAATTAGTCAGAAATGTCTACACAAAATTAATTCTGATGATTACTGAATCGTGTGAAACATTTCTATATAGAATTGGACATTGCAAAATCAGATCTGTATACGATCATGTCACAATGACCGATGTGTGTTTGTCTCTCTTTTAGACACGTAGCAGTCACTGACCCCCCCCCCCCCCCCATATCACATTCAGAATATGGATAATACAAAATGTGAAATGACTGGTAGGAATAAGTAGTGATCATGACACTGCCAGATACATATGTACAATGAATCGGTAGAAATATTATATAACGTCTGAAGAACCAAATAGGTTTCCTCTTAGAACTTGTAAACATTTTGCTGATTTCTAGTTACAAAGTGATATTCTTTGCAGAGGAATGCATTGCTGTGGCCCCGCCTATTTCTTTCAGTCTCCCATCAGGTCCCGCAATATTTATAAACAGAGAAACGTGGGATATCAGTATTATATTTTCCTGTTCACGGTAATATTTTATACATTTGACATTATAATAAACAATAGTAACTGGTGATGATGGTTTGTGTTTCTGAAATGTGAAAGATGAATGTTTCTGTGTAATCTCCGAGGAAGAAGAATAGAAAAACCAATGAGCAGAATATTAATAGATTTACTCTCCTGGAGATGTCTATATATTTGAAAATCGCAGAAATGTGTATAATGGTTACAAATGAATACAATTGTATTGTGTGTAATGAATGGGTGTGACTCCGCCTCTTCCCAGGAAGGTTCCCATCAGGTCCCGCTCAGGCTTGTTATAAAAGGAAGGCGGGCCCAGCCCAGAGCTCAGTCGGTGTTTGCAGCAGAGAAGAATCGTCATGTCTGGTCGCGGTAAAGGAGGGAAGGGTCTGGGGAAAGGCGGCGCCCAAGCGCCACAGGAAGGTGCTCCGGGATAAAACATCCAGGGCATCACCAAACCCGCCATCCGACGTTTGGCCCGCATGAGGGGGGGAGTCAAGCGCATCTCCGGCCTCATCTATGAGGAGACCCTCGCGGAGTGCTGAAAGTCTTCCTGGAGAATGTCATCCGCGATGCCGTCACCTACACCGAGCACGCCAAGAGGGAAAGACCGTCACCGCCATGGATGTCGTCTATGCTCTCAAACGGGCAGGGACGCACCCTCTACGGATTCGGAGGATAAATTCTCACAACCCCCCCCCCCCCTTTCATCGTCACAAAGGCCCTTCTCAGGGCCGCCCACCTTTTCATACAAAGGGCTATTGATTTATGATCTCCAGGGGTTCTATTTGCTCCTCCCGGGGGAGAAGGATCGCCGCTCATTCCAGTAATGGGGGGGGGGGGGGGGGGGGGTGAATGGGAACTATCCGTTAGTTATTCTATAGAACAGGATGACGTCATGTATAGATATAGTTCGGCAATTCCACTAATGAATCTGTCCAATCACCTGATTTGGTTTCTTCATTACATGTCATTTCTCTCTATCGATTCATTGTACAAATGTATCTGGCCAGTGTCAATGCTTTTTTACCAGACATTTCGTATTAATCTGGATGTGATATGGTAAATGTCTGGGGGGACACATACATATCGGTCAGTGACATGATCGTATACAGATCTGATGAAGAATCGTACAATACTTTATTCCCATCATATAGAAAGGTAGAGATCTGTGACATGTATAATGTCACTCGTATGTGTTGTGTTCCTGTATGTTGGAGGGGAATCCTGGATTCTGAGAATGGATACAAGACAATATATGGAAAGTGATCATCAGAATCCATTTCTAGTCATTTGGTGATTTAGTCCGCAAACACATTGGATATAGAGGAATCCTGGGGACAGAGATAACATGAACAAGGGGATTGACATGACTCAGTAATCACCGACATCTGTAGACATCCCTGACTAAATCAATACAAACTGGGGGGGGGATAGGTGGGGGGGCGGAACAAAATTTGTAACTGCTACATGTCTGAAGAGGAGGGACACGATCGCATACGGATCTGATCATGGAATCTACAATACTTTGCATTCACAATGTTTTACATAATTCGGTAAATATGGAAATCCATCTTCCAGACCTCATCAATACATCTACTTGGGATGAGAGCGATGATATTTCTCGGATGTCTCATCTGATGATCTCCTTTGTTCTCCGGCTCGGATTTTGGCGGTTATAATCGGGCGGAATATTTGTAAACGATTTAACACAATTCCGGCGGGAAAGAATTTGATGACAGTTTGAACTCTGAGCCAATCACAGCTTAGTGGGCGGTTCCTTCATCATCCAGTAATGTTCTCCTTACGATAAATCCATAGAAATGTATCCGGCTTTTGTATTATGACAGGGGCGGGAAAAAAAGCTGAATTCCAAAGTGGAAGCCAACAGACAGTTTTCTGGGCGATTCCTTCAGATAATAAAACATTTGTTTCTTCTCGGAGTTTGATGAGATCTGTTCCCTCAGTTGGGAGGATCGTTTAGTTCGGTATATATTGAACGATCTCAGATCTTCAGGAGAAACTCATTCACAAGTGAAAGGTGGAGATCAGTCCCCGGACTCCGATGTCCAATTCCTGGAATCTCACACTGAAATCATTTGTATTATTAATTGTTCATTGAACCTTCATTAATTGTCATCCCCTATAATGAAATGTTAACATTTATAATGATAATTCTCTAATGGCCAGATGGATTGTCCAAATCACGTGATGGCAGGATATATTAGACTTGAGGGGGTCACCCTCCCCAGGACTTGGTGTCCTATCACCTCCCCGGGAGATAGAGAGGAGTGTGGGATTGGATGTCCATAGAAGCCCGTATGTCCGCCCCTTTTGTATAGAGATGTGGGGGGGCTCTGAGAAGAGCCGTTGTGTTGGCGGATAGAAGGGAATCCTGGTGGGGGATGTTACTTGCTCTTGGCGGCCTTGTGGCTCTCGGTCTTCTTTGGGCAGCAGCACGGCCTGGATGTTGGGTGCAGGACTCCTCCCTGGGTCGCGATGGGTGACGCCGCCCAGCAGCTTGTTGAGCTCCTCGTCGTTGCGGACAGCCAGCTGGAGGTGTCTCGGGGGATGATGCGGGTCTTTCTTGTTGTCTCGGGCGGCGTTGCGGCCACTCCAGGATCTCAGCCGTCATAGATACTCCAGGACGGCGGCCAGATAGACGGGAAGCTCCGGCCCCGACCCGCTCGGCATAGTTTGCCCTTCCGGAGCAGACGGTGAACATACGGACCGACGGGGAACTGCAGACCAGCCCCCGGGACGACGGGTCTTGGCCTTAGCCCGAGTCTTGCCTTCCTTGTTTGCCGCGACCAGACATGATTGGATGACTGACGAATCACACACAGATAGGGTCCCAGCAGCCGCTTCCTCTCCTTTATAGCACTCCATGCTCTGAAGTCACACGCTGGGATCCTGGTTGCTTTTTTATAGTTCAGCAATAGCGAACAGACTTGTTTTCTACACTAATCTGTACTCGAGGGAAAGGAAGCATGACGTCACTCTGCATGACATGAGCGAGTCCTCCAATAGGAGAGTGAGGAGGATGAGGCTCCTTTTGCAGTAGGCGGCTATAATAAAAGCCAGCACAATGAGGGCGGGCATCCAGCACACTTTCCCTTGCAGCCAGCCAAGCAGTGGTGAACCCTGATCATGCCTGAACCAGCCAAGTCTAGTGCGCCGGCGCCCAAGAAGGGGCTCCAAGAAAAGCCGTAACCAAGACCCAGAAGAAGGACGGCAAGAAGCGGAGGAAGACTAGGAAGGAGAGTTATGCCATCTACGTGTACAAGGTGCTCAAGCAGGTCCACCCCGACACCGGCATCTCGTGTCCAAAGGCCATGAAGCCATCATGAACTCCTTCGTCAATGACATCTAGTCGACGCATCGCCGGCGAAGCTTCCCGCCATGGCTCATTACAACAAGCGCTCCACCATCACCTCCCGGGAGATCCAGACCGCCGTCCGCCTCCCTCCTGCCCGGAGAGCTGGCCAAGCACGCCGTTTCCTCCGAGGGCACCCAAGGCCGTCACCAAGTACACCAGCGCCAAGTAATCACCCCCCGGGGCCCCCGCATCATCCCAACAAGGACACAAAGGCTCTTCTAAGAGCCGGCCACCATTCCAAGTATCACTGAAGCTGTGTTATCACATTGTATTGCCGCTAAGTGAGGTCCCACACACGTCACACTTACACTGGACATTCGTGTCATTCTGTAGTACAAGGGCCCTCCCTCATTTGGATACACATTGGAGGGGGCACCTGGTTTGGGGGAAATTTCTACAAGGATTGTTGTAGAATGTATGGCCGGCCTTCCATGGGTCATGACATCGGTCATTGTCGTACAAATCTGATTGGAAGGTATTAAATCTGAAGATGTATTCAAGGTACCAGAAATCAATCCGAGTCCCACATTTTCCTTATTCCGGAATTTCTGATGTTTTTTCCCTCTTGGAGGATGTAAAGGTTCTCATTTGTTACATTGAATATTGTCTGCTTATTGGGAGCCGGAAAATTAAAACCGCCGATCGCATTGTATATCTTCCCCGATACAGAAGTCAGTATTTCCCATCCTATGGAGGGCGATCCTATAGAATCCAGGAATATAGATCTATAGGGGTCATGGGGGGGGGACAGGTTCGCTTTGGTGTTTGATGACATATGTAGGACTATGCACAGAGCAGAGCTCATGTTGGAGACGTGTATACAGGGGGATGCTGCTGGGGAGGGGGGGCATTGTCAGTATACAAGGGGATGCTGCTGGGGGAGGGGGGGACATTGTTTCAATATACAGGGGGATGCTGCTGGGGGATTTATGGGGGACATTGTCAGTATACAGGGGGATGCTGCTGGGGGGATGGGGGACATTGTCAGTGTATACAGGGGGGAAGGGGGACATTGTCAGGATGGGGACTTCTGTGACACACTTTTATGACCTAGTTTAGGGCTCTTGTTTTGTATATATATTGTTCGGATTTTGTATTATGAGAGTGTTTTCAGATGATTAAAAAAAAGAAATCCGATCTTCCCGAGATAAAATTGCGGTATATGGATGGGTTCGCTGTATGCCCAGATTTGGCTTGGTAAGAGGGGGCGGGATTGTCTGTGACGTCACATAGATGATAAAACAATTCCGGCGGTGAGATTTGAATGAAGCAATTAGAAAGTTGAGCCAATTGACAGTTATAGACGTTTCCTTCAGATAGTAAAACATCTTTTTTTCTACGTGGAGTGTGAAGGAGGTGATGATGATCTGTTCCCTCAGTCGGGAAAGGATCGTTGTTCGGTATATATTTGAACGATCTCTGATCATCAGGAGAAACTCATCACCACTCAAGGAAGGCGAGGCTATAAGATCAGTCCCTGGAATAAGATGTCCTTTCCCCAGAGTCTCACACTGAAATATTTTTCCATGAATGTATAACATTTGTCCTTTTCGCTAAGATAAAGTGTAGTATCTATTCTTATCAGTGTCCCAGTAGGGGCTGCTCCAACGGCCATTCTAGCTTTGTGGTGATGGCTGGTTGTATAGTACCCCTGCTGGAATGATGGGGGTCTCTGGACGGCTAGGTGAACAGAAAGTGTGGCGGCTCCCCACAGTAGTAGCTGGGGGCCCGTGAGTAATTCTCCCGAGAAGACCGGAAGGACCCAGTTCCTCCTGATTCGAACGGATCTACCTTGTTTGCTGGCCAGGGGTCGGGAAGGCAGAAAGTCTGCAAACCAGTGCCCCCATGAGTGGTCCGCCTCATGTTTGCCCTTAGTAAACACCTGGGTGTGGTGACCCCAGTGTGAAAAGGCACATGGCCACTGTGTTGGTTGTGCTGCGTTTACCACTTTTCCTGCACAGCCCCCTTAGGGACCTAGGCCTTCTGGCTAAACGTTCGGGGCAATTTTTGCTACAGGCCTCAGGGCCTGGTCTGTGCACAATTTTGCACGACCCTTTTTTTTTATTATCATATTATTTCATTTATTTCACCTCCCACGTCACTTTGTCTTTCTTATGTGTGCGTTTTTTCTCAGAATGGAGGGTTGTGGGTTCCTCGGGCCTGCCCTGAAGTCTAGGGGTGAGGATGTGTGGCCTTTTGGTTCCTTCCTCCCTGTCCCTGGGGCGGTTTTCTCTTCGGGAGAGCCCCCTGAACCAAGTACTGGGGCTGGTCTGGCTTCAGCTGGCCACAAGGAACGGTGGTCCACCAGGCCTTTTGGCCAGGAGGACCAAATGGGAACCTTGTCCCTGTCAGGAGCTTCGTGCCCCGGGGGATCAGGGTAGTGGTCCATGCCCCTTCGTAGGAGAGACAAAGCACACCTCCTAAGTACATTTTTTCGTGTGGTTGTTTTGCACTTACACTTAATTTGTGAACACTTATGGGTTTTTTGCACGTTTGCGGACTTAAAAAAACGAAAAAAAAAAAAAAAACGTATATTATATTTATTAAACTATATACCCGTTTTATCATCTATATTATAACAACAAATACAAAAAATGTAGTTATAAAGATTTTGTAACAAACATAAACATGAGGATGATCGACTTGGGGGGAGGAGCCACGCCATACATCCACAATGGTCCAACCTCCCCCCCAATACGCTTTCCTCCTTTTTCCTATCTCCTGATTTTCCTCCCTGTGACTGAATCGGTTGATAAAAGCTGAGGTTTATAGAAATGTGTATGGAGTTTGTGGGTGGCTCTGAGAAGAGCCGTTGTGGTAGTGTAATAGAAGTGAAATTGTGATTGAACGTTCAAAAACCTAATTGAGATGTTCGCCTGTGAACTTCACGCTCAATGCAATCGTCTATGGGACTCACTTGTAAATTCAAAAGTGCTTATTGTTTTGAAGGCTTATATTCAAGTTTTTTGGCTATAAAAGGGGTATGGGGACTTGGATACTGCACTGAGGGACAAGAATCAGTGAAAACAATTTTTTTCACAAAAACTACAAGGTTTTAAAGGGGAATGTCGTTTGTCATTGTAATTCCCTTTAAATACCATGCCTGGGGGTCCCTTTAAACTATCTGCACTAAGAGCTGCACATCTGTGCAATGATTATAGAACCTGCTGAAGCAAGGACTGACATTTTTATTTTAAATTACATTTTTTATTAAATAAATACAAAAAAAAAAGCATGCCCCCCCACATTCTCTTACCAGAATCTCGTTAGGCCTGATAGGACTTTTTATGGGGAATCCCACCCCTCATAAAATGGGTGAAAAAGTGTGGGGTCCCCCCTAAATTCCTACCAGTCCCCTGATCCGAGCACACAGCCTGGCTGGACTAGGAAGGAAGGGACAAGGACCTTCCCAAAAACACACTTGGTCCAGTGGATGTGAGGGTCTGTGGGCAGGGCAGTCTTGTTATCAGAGTACCCATTTAAATAAATGGGGCAGCACAGTGGCTAAATGGTTAGCAACTTCCACCTGGAAGTACTGGGGGGGTCATTGGTTTCAGAATCCCAGCCATGTCACCTCCTGCATGGAGTTTGCATGTTCTCCCTGTGCCTGCGTGGGTTTCCTCTGGGACTACTCCGGTTATCCTCCCACACTCCAAAGACATGTGTGGTAGGTTAATTGGATCCTTTCTAAATTGGCCTTTGTATATGAATGTGAGTTAGGGACCTTAGATTGTACTCCTCTTGAGGGTGAGGGACTGATGTGAATGCACAATATATGTAAAGTGCTGCGTAAATTGACGGCGCTATATAAGTACATGAAATAAATAAAGGGGCACCCTGATCACTTGTGAAAAATGAGTAAGGGGTTCTTGCACACCGACTCATTCAATTAAAGGAGTTAAATGCAGTAAAAAAAAAAAACAAAAGAGACCAATCATTTTAAAAAATCCAACTATAATTGAAAAAAACTGATTTTGACAAGTCTCTTTAATATTAATTTAAAACAAAAATAAAAAAAACATGGCTCTCCATCATTGTAATTTATTGTCAATCATGGGGGTCCAGCATTGTCACAAGGATGCCGATCTCACCAAAATTAAAACAAACCAGGAAAAAAAGTAACTAACGGTGACGTCCCCACCTGCTCTTCCCAATTGTTTACCATCTGTACCGGAACCCCCCAAACTGTCACACCTGTCCTTATTGCAAAGAGTGCTCAGCGGGTGGGTGTGCAGACGGGTAGTGGGCGGGCATAGTTTTCTCTATTTTTAGAATTTGATTTTGGCAAGTCCTGCATCATCAGGACAACACTGGACGCTGTGATTGATGATGGATTACATTAATGG